GGCTTCTGGGCTCAAAGATGCCTCCCTTGTGTGCTAGAGAAAATAGAAAAGTGACTGCAGGAAGTACAGAGGTTTTAAGCATTTTGGTTTGGTTTTATGTTGGCTTTTTTTTTTTTAACTTTTTTTATTAGAAAAGGTGCTTCAGCTCAGGCTGGTCTTATATAGGTTTCTTATGGGCATGTTGGAGGGGCAAAGGGGAAGAAGGTTTATTTGTTTATCTGAGCGTAACCTCCTCCCTGCTGCGTAAGCAGGGGAGCATGGCAGGGACACCAGCGATGCCAGCGAGTCCCTGGTCTGGGAAAATCCTCTAAACAACTAAATACACATGAAACCCCTTTGAAGAGGTGAGATTTAGGGTTAGGAGGACCAACGTGCTGCTGAAACTCATGTAGCTTTTGGGCCGAGCATCCGACCATCCTGGTGAAAGCACAAAGAGTGGGAAGAAAAATAAATAAATGGTGGAAGGAGGAGAGGGAAAGGGAAGAAAAAAAAAAAAAGTCCCTTTATACAGTGAGCTGCAGCAGCCTGGGCTTGTCGCTGGCAGAAAGTAGGACACTCCTGCTGGGTTTTCTTCTTTGGAAAAGCTAAACTTGGCTACGAGTGGGTGGAGGCAGCCTGCATGGAAATGCGTCTAAAAATCCCCATCCCCTGCCCCTGCTCGGCTGCCGTGGGGCCGCAGAGCTGCGTGTCCGGCTGATGGGGAGTATTTGCCTCGAAAGGCTTAAGCTCAGGCTTGCAAAGGTGATTACATGTTTGGCTCGCTGAGATAAGCAGGAATTAGAGCCTAAATATCTCTGCTCTTCAGGCTGCCGTGGAGCACCCGAGGTCCTGGGTTGCTCAGAGCTCGTTGGGGTGGATGTGGGGTTGGTGCTGGGAGGTTTGGGAGGAAGAGGAGGAGGAGGAGGGTACCCTGGCATGGTGGCAGAGGTTGAGCAGCTTGTGGTCCAGCTGCGTGTCGGGGTCAGGAGTGGGGATGCTGAGCAAGCAGCGATTAGAATTGGGCAATTTAATGGATGTTAAGTTAAAGGAGGCAGGAGAGCAGAGAAACCCCCCAAGCCCTGGAGCATCCTTGGGCAGGGTGATGGTTGTGATCCCATGCAGGAGGCTGTGGTCCTCTCTTGATGTGCTCCTGGCTTTCCCCTGTGTTTCTGTTCCCCAAATTGGAACTTTCCCTGGGAAAAGCCCAGCGGGAGCGGAGTGCAGGCAGCTCTGCTGGGCACAGACCCCTCTGCATGGTCAGGGGGTCCCTGCCATGGGGCTGTGACCCCGATCGGGGGTCCCCAAGGCAATGAACTGGCCAAAATAAGGCCAGAAAGCACAAAAATGTAATTTGGAGTGATATCTTCAAAGGGAAGAGCTAGGGCAAGGGCTAGCAAGCCCTGCCTGCAGTTTGCCATGGTGGGGTGGGGGGGGTCACCTCTTCCTTCGTCTAGTCCTTCTTCTCCAGCATTGTGGAAATAATCACAGCTTTTAATACCCTCCAAATCCTTTGGATCTGCTTCAAAAGGTATTTTCCTGCTGCTACTAATCCCGCCATGGTCGACAAACAGGGTTGCCTTGTCTGATTTCTTCTGAGGAGGGGGGTTATTAGTCCCCTCCTGCGTCTCTCCTGACCTTTGGGGTAAATTGGGATCAGGAGGGACTTCGTGCAGCCACGTGTCTTCTCCTCCCATGTGTTGCTGCGGCGGTCCTTCTGCCAAGTCCTCGCTGGTGGTCCGAGCCTGCCTTGGGAATGTTTCCAATGGTGCCCAAATCTGGCTGCAGGTGGAGTGTCCCCTTCTGTCGCCAAGATGTGGCCGTCCGTGGCCATCCTGTGCGTCCTGGTGACCTTCGCCAATGCTCGCAGCATTCCTTACTACCCTCCGCTCTCCAGCGACTTGGTTAACCACATCAACAAGCTCAACACCACCTGGAAGGTGAGTACAGGCTTGCTTTTGGGTTTTTTTTTTTCTTTTTTTTTTGGATGCATGGCTCAACAGTCTCTATGGGGCTCGACAGCTGAGCTTTGGGAGTCTCACCACAGTGGTTGCATCAAACCAGTGTTGGTCTCAGTTGACTTCTCCAGTGAGTTGATGCTGTCAGGGATTTGTTCAGCCTGGAGAAGAGAAGGCTCCGGGGAGACCTTCCAGCACCTTCCAGTGCTGAAAGGGGGCTACAGGAGAGATGGGGGGGCTCTGG